TTAAGTTTAAAAGCCTAGTGCGCAACAGAAAAAAGCCTTGCCCAAGGTTTGTATCGCGATCTGCAGAGTACTTAAAGAAAAGGTGGGCTTTTTGAAAATATGAAAAAGATATCATTCTTACCGAGATCTAAAGGCCGAAAATCATGAGAAGATTATTTTGAAAAGCTAAGGATAAACTGGAATCAAAGAAAGAGATCCGAATCAAAAAAGAAAAGAAAAAAAAACTCTAGCTCTCTTTCGGCTATAAAAACGGTGGCTACCAAGTAGAACAGCATCCCTCTTCTTCCTGACACCACTAACGGCCGCATCTGCAAATTCCGCACCTTCTCATCATCCTTCTTCTTCCTTTCTTAACCGTTCAAGGAACTCTTTTGTATAAAAGTCTAACATGAGTGACTAACTTGTTTTCTCTTTCTAATTGAGATTTAGTAAACTTTAATGATGTATTTGTGAGATCAAATTGGTTTAATTTATATTTTATTTAAATTTTTATATTTATTTATTTTCTGCACTTATAAAATTTAAGTCTTCAACTTGTTTCAATAGAGTCGGTTGAACGTTGGAGAAGCAGCAAGCAGCTACTCAAACCTCTCAAATCCGTAATTATTTGAGTGATTCTAGCACCTAATAGCGATCAGTGTCGCATTGAGGAGGTAAGTAATCTAGTTGACCGGTTCACGCAGATACATCTGGCAACTTGAATCAAGTTCTTCTAGTTCTCAAGGACGTTGAAAAGTTAAATTCCGTGAATGTTCTCAGAAGTGTTTGGAAGAGAAGAACCAACTAATAAACGTTTCTTGGTTGGTTTAAAAATAACGAATGATTGGTTGTCGGAACATTTCCAACAACTATAACTAGTTTGTTATAGTTTAAATAAAATAAATTTTTACATATATAATCAATTACATTACTGGAGCTAACTATTTCATCAACTAGAAATTTTTCTTATAATTGTTTTAGTTTCTAATTTGTAGCAAAAAATTTGTTTAACATTATTCTGTTTACTGTTTATCTTATATTTTGTGTATTGAATTATATAAAACCCCCTTTTTTTTTATTGTTCATTCATCAGTCAAGAAAGAAAATTAGTTTTTAATTCTCTATGAATTTGACTCTACTTACCACTACTACAATCTTATTATATTAGTTAAATATAAATTTATTTTTGGTGAATTCAACACCCATCATGTTACCATCTGCTCCCCCAAAAATTTTGTGTCTGCAAATGTCATATTTGTTGAATAAGAATCTTATTTTGTCCAATTTTATCTTTAGGGGAAACCTACATTGGAAGATAAGAGCACATAATTCATAACAAATTTTAATCTACCACCATTGCCACACACGTCAAAACTATTACCACAAGAGAATGTTTAGAATCCACTAAAAAACTCACCACCACAAGAAAACCTTCAAAATTCATCCTCCAAAGAAATCATACCAGACTCTAGATTTTCTTAGGTACACACAACGAGGGAGGTGCCAAATCCTGAGCTAAAGCAGCTTCAAGAATTTGACCTTGATATTGGAATTGAAGTAAGTTTTGAAAAAATTATACAATCCTCTGATAATGATATACCTACTGCATTTTGTAAAGATATAATAAAATACATTAAACATATTCTACATCTTATCTCACAATTTACATCTTTGATAAGTGTTCATCAACCAATGAAAAATTTTCTAACAAATTTAAACAATGAGTATATCCCTAAGAAAGAATCCAAAGCATTCTCATGTCAAAGATGGAAAAATACCATGAGTGTGAAAATTCAGACACTTAAAAGAACCAAACTTGGAAAATAGTATATCTACCAAAAGACAAAAAAACATGTGGGATGCAAATGGGTTTTCTCAATCAAATATAAAGTAAATGACAATTTTTTTTTAAATAAAAAGAAAGTAAATGACACAATCGAGAGATATAAAGCGAATCTGCTGGTAAAAAACTATACACAAACATATGGAATAGATTATCAAAAGATATTCGGATCGCTAGCTAAGATGACTACTATACGAATCTTGTTATCATTTCATCCTGATTGGATGACTTGCATGAAGCTTCATTAATGTTGGGTACGATTGGGTATCTACAAAATTCATTAATATTTAAATTTAACTATATTTAGATGATAATCTATTAATATTTTATAGTAGCAGCTGTTTTTGTTTGAATTGATAGGATAACGTGATTATATATTTGAGCAAATTTTCTATTTTACCCCAACTTTATTATATATAATAATAAATGAAAAATAAAAAGAAAAAAAATTAAAAAAATATATAGTGTTAAATATAGAGATATATAAACATATATAATTAAATATAATATATATATATATAATTAAAGATATATATACAATTAAATATATTATATACATATATAATTAAAATATTATATACATGTATAATATATAAATAAAAACATAAATATATATATATGATAAAATATATACATCTAAATATATTATATACATGTATTTATATATAATTAAATAAATAAATATATTTTAAGAAACAGAAGAAGTGTCGGGTAAAAGAAATTAAAGAGAAGAATAATGTTGTAAATAATAAAAAACATTAAAGTTATAAAGGAACTATCCTAAAATCACCGAATCAGTAGTTTGAAAAGATGAAAAAAATCATAGTTTTGATAACCATGACTCAACCACCAAAAAACTATACCATGTGTTTGAAAATGCAAACAAACAAAAAAAACTATGAAAAAACTATATCATCATTATTGAACCATCATCCAAACAATGTCTTAGTTATCCACTTTTAATTACCAATTACAACAGTTTAATGTGGAAAAATATCTTCTTGCATGGAAATTTAAAAAAAGAAATATATATGGATATTCCATCAAGCTTTGACAGATGAACATAACTAAATAAGGTATGTAAACTTAAGAAAGTTTTGTATGAACTTAAACAATCACCAAAAGCATAATTTGGCATATTTGCAATAGTGATGATAAATCTGGGATTTAGTAGGTTTAAAGAGACTACACTCTTTTCATCAAACACTCGGAGACAAGGAGAATTATACATCTTCTAGTACACATTGATGATATTATAGTAATAGGAAATTACGCGAAGAAACAACAAACACTAAAAAACTGTCTAGCAAAAGAATTTAAAATCAAAGAAATAGATAAGTTGAAATATCTTTTGGGAATTGAAGCTATTAGCTTCAAATCTAGAATTTTTTATTTCTCAACAGAATCACATTCATGAACTACTATAAGATACAGGCAAGTTAGCATGCAAATCAACTAACACTCCTATTAATTCTAATCACAAATAAGAAATAGTATAATAAGGTACCTTAGTAAACAAAAAAAAAATGTGTTAGAAATTAGTTGGCAGATTGATCTACCTATCCCACACAAGACCAGATATTGTCTATGCAGTAAGTATTATAAGGTAATTCATGCATAAGTTGAAATAAGTGCACCTATAAGCAGCCTACACAATACTGCAATACTTAAAATGTCACTAAAGAAATGAATTATGTTCAATAAGAATGATAAATTGCTCCTAAAAGACTATACTAATGCAAATTGTGCAAAGTCGTTTATAAACAGAAGATCTACTACAAATTATTATACCCTCCTTGAAGACAATCTAGTCATCTAGAGAATTAAGAAACAAATTGTAATTGTGAGATCAAGTGCAAAATCAGACTTTCAAATAATATTACAAGGGACATGTGAACTATTATGAATAAAAAGAACCTTGAAAGATTTTAAAATCAATTGGAAAAATCCTATGCAACTATACTGTGACAATAAGTTAGCCATAAGTATCATTGATAATCTGACGCAACACAACCAGACCAAGCAAATTAGATTGATAGACATTTTATGAAAGAAAAACTTGATAGCGGCATATTATGTACCACATACATGTCCACTAATGCTCAAGTAGCAAATGTATTGACTAAAAGTGTAGATAATCCAATATTCCAAACTCTTATTGGTAAAGTAGAAATAGGCAACATTTATTCTCCAACTTAAGGAAAAATATGAAAGATAAAAATAAATCAAGATATTAAAGATGAAGTAAATCAAGATATTAAAAAGAAATAAATCAATGTATTAAAGATGCAGTAAATCAAAATATTAAAAAATAAATAAATTAAGATATTAAAATGAAGAAAATTAGGATATAATTACACTTTGGTAATTAATTGTTTATTTCTTTTTTATTATAAAAAACCTGTATATATGAGGTTGTAATATTCAACAAAATGTATCAATCAAACCTGTTCTTAAAAATAATAAGAAACAAAACCTTAATTAAGAAAGTGTTAGTTCATTGCTATCTCTTTATTACTACTTACTAGTCATTATATAAACATTAGCCACAACTAATAAGAAAAGCGATAAACTTCTCTCAAGAAAAATAAGAAAAACCATAAAAACAAAATCTAAAATATTCTAATTCTTATATATCTAAATTCACCTAAAAAAGAAATTAACATATTATAATGTCTAAATAAATTAAAAATACAAAATAATAACAATTACTACCAAAAAAAAAAACTTCTTTCATTGAAAATGTGTTCCAAAACAATATTTTCATATTTTTTGCATCACTATCTTTTCCATTTACATTAGGAGCCCTTTTCCCCTTTCAATATATTCAGGAAAAGACCCTGCATCCCAATGAACATGCAGATTTACATCAATGCATATATAGCATTAGCTTTTACTACCTTCATCTGCATATTTTGTTATTATAACTGCTTCAACATGCAGATAGAATTCCTATATATCAAACAGAATGTAATATAGGATACCCATCAGGCAGCACAACCACTCCTTTTCAGCAGACTATCTTCAATCATAAACAAAAATCAGACAACTTCTGTACAGCCAACAGGCCAGATAAGATGCCGAAGCAAACAACTTCAGAAAAAGTAATAGAGAAGCCATTTGCTAACCACATGTTTTCAATTGGTAAGGAAATGTCAATACACTAGAATCTACGAACCTCGATAGGAGAATTTTTTATTGTTCAGCCAAGCCTTGAAGATAAATGTTAGAACAAATCCCCATATTTCCAATGTCCTTTGAATTGTTGAGTAGGTTTTGAATCTACTCCAGCGGCCCCCAGGTGCAACAGAAACCTACAGTACATAGCAAAATAATGGTGTCACCAACTCATCTACATGATTTCTTCACATAAATAGAGCACATTAAGAACTAACTATTTTGAGGGAGATGATTTTGTAAAGCCCAAGGTAGATTCTACATATAAATTGATAACTTTGTTCACATTCTCATCCCCTTTAGACCACTTCAACATAGCTTAGCCCTTCAAGATCAACTACTTCTTATACATACAAAATGAAACATGTGCTCATGAAGAATTAAGAAACAATCAGTAAACTACCACATGTTCATTAGTAGTCCCAGTTCTCTAAAGCAAGTTCTCAAGCCAAGTGAAAATCAATTTTTACCTGATTTGAGCAGCTACATAAATTCTACCAAAAGATCAGTACGGTCTTTTTCTGGATTTAAAGTTGATAAGATCAGCAGTACTCTATCTTGGGACCACCACTACCACAAATAATCAAATATGAAACCACCTAATGTTAAACTCGAGTTGCCCAACATGTATTCTCGACTATAAGCATATAGCCAGGCGCTATTTCCTTTGTATCTCCTAAGTGACAGTTAAATAACGCTTAAATTTTACTGTAAAACTTAATAAAGACAAAACAAAAAAGGACAATTAGAATATATTGAAGCTAACTTTTCTTTATGGAAGTGATAAAATTGAAGCTAACTTGATCACATAGAACAGCGACCTTCAAATTTAAAGAAGAAAGTGCAATCCCATTACAGAATATTCTAGGAACGCTAGAAATTCAAATTCCAGAAAAATCAAACTCCAACTAGACAACATAATGAAGCAACATTATTTAACAAACAAAGAACAACAAAAACAATGGCATCACAATTGATACCTCTAACTCTTCTTGCGCGCTTCGCTTAAACCAGGCATCTTCTTTCCCGATTTCCTCGATCCTCTTCCTCCTACCCTCCTCCTTCTCGGTCTCTAAAGAATCTCCCGCTTCATTCAAAACTTCCGCCACAGCGCCATTTCCATTAACATATTTGACTAAACTTCCATTACTACTCAGTCCGCTATCACACTCACTCTCACTATCCACCACAGTAACACCTCCATTCCTGTAGCCACCGTTCAAGCCATCATACGTATAATCTCTGGTATCACCAAAACTAGTTGCAACAGCAGTAGCATTTCCTTTCATTTTCAGACTACCGTTAACTTCTTTAATCAATTCGTGTTCTCTGTCTTCGACCACTGCACCTTCCTCTTTAAGAGCAAGAATTCGCGTACGGATAGAAAAATCATACCTGGAATGTCGTCTTGAGATTGATATTATAGAGAGAGGAAGTCTTGAGAGACGTAGTTGGCGTTTGGAAGACGGTTGTGGAGAGAGCAACGTAAGGTCAGGCAATGGAAGAGAAGACGACGCCATAGATAATTTGCTTGCGAGAGTTAGAAATCAAAAGAAAACCCCAATTTTCATTATTTGTTGAGAAAGGAAGTGAGATGGAGAACAGACAGGAAGGGAAGGTTTGTGGTCAGAGAGAGTGAGAAAAAAGAAGATGAAGACAGTGAAAAAATGAGGAATTAAATATGTCCGCTCAATAAATAATAAATATAAAAAATAAAAATAAAAATAGAAATAAAAAGGGGGGAAAGGGGTGGATATGATGAAGACACGTGGCAACAGACCAGATTGAGAGTTAAGAGGTTTGGGAATTCTTATTGGCTGAGAGAGTCCCATGAGTTGCCACAACCACAAGGGCACTTCCTTCGTGTTGGAATTTTTTTGTCTACTTTCCGCTTCCGTGTCATTTCTGTTCATTTGCTTTCCAAACCAGGAATATTGCCGCTACGCAAATAAACATAAAGGATTAAAGTAAATTATATAAAATAAAAATAAAATATGAGATCACTGGCAAAAAAATGAGATTAAGATTTTTTTTTTGAGAGATGAAATAAGAATTTTATTTATTGAAAAAAACTAAAAATTTAATTTCAACATTAAATTAGTAAATAATATAATTAATTAGTTTTTTTGTCATATGTTTTATTACTGTTAACACAATTAACTATAATTCTGATGTTAAAATTCATAATTTTAACAGATTATGTTGCTTAATAAATTTTTATAATTATACACTTAATTTATATATTTTCTAGTTAGTTTTATTTCCTAATTAATCTATTTTCCTTTTTTGTATATATAAAGAAATTATATCAATAAACGAATATGAATCTTATGTGCCAATCAATTTATGTCTTTTGTTATCTTGGTATCAGAGATATGATAATCTAAAATTTCTTTGTTTCATCATAAATATTTTTTGGTTTGGTTTCTCAGCTATTACAAGCAATCGTACAATGTTCTTCGGTGCTTGTCTTTGGCTTCAACTATTTTTCACGTTCAATCTATATTTTGTCTTTTTTCACCTTATGGATTTTAAAAAATCTAATATTATCTCTGTTAAGTTAA